TCTCTCTCTCTCTCTCTCTCTCTCTCTCTCTCTCTCTCTCTCTCTCTCTCTCTCTCTCTCTCTCTCTCTCTCTCTCTCTCTCTCTTAACTGGTTAATTGATTTTCCATAAAAAAAAATACTTAGCTTTCTGTTGTTTTTTTCCTTTTTGATCTTGATCATTATAATATGTTGATTATTTTGTGCCTTTCCCGGAAAGTTGTGTGCTTTTTTTATCATCTCATGTAGAACAATCGATTGAAGTTCAGTGAATGCATGGTGATGTTTCTTCAAATTTTGTTCAATGGTTTTTTATATGTATATATATAGCAGAACCCCAAATAGTTGGGAAAAGCCTCAGCTGATGTTGATGATGGTGGTTTTTTTTTTTTCTTTTTCTTTTTTTATAGCTGACGCCAAATAGTTGGGAAAAGCCTTCTTTTGTACTTGGAGTCATATTATCTAAGATTTCTTTCAGGGCCGCAGGTTTTTTTTTTTTTTATAGCAGATCCCAAATGGTTGAGAAAAGGCTCTGCTGATGATGATGATGGTTTTTTTTGTCTTTTCTTTTTATGAATTCTGTCATTTCCTTCTTTTTTAGTTTGAGTCCTATTATCTATGATTTCTCAGGGCCACAGGTTTCTTGGTGGCTTCAACAATCTAGACCAGTTTATTTTGAACCCGTCATTTGCTTCATTGTGTACAGATTTAAAACCTCCCATTTACTGGAATCCTCTACAAGTAGTCCCCCAACTATTCTTATTGTTATGTGGAAGAAATATTTCTTGATTATCTTAATGTTATTTCTCTATTTACGCTCATAAAAATATGGATATTGTGACACTTCCTTTCAGGTTTTCTGCTCAAATAAATTGTAAATTGTGTATTGTGACATTTTCTTTCTGGTTTTTTGCTCAACAAAACATGGGTATTTAGACTTTTTTTCTGATTTTCTGCTCAATAAGATATGGGTATTGTCACATTTTCTTGTTAACAGTGGACAACATTGATGCTCAAGCTTGATCACCTATCTTTGGAGTTGAATAAGCCAGATCTTTGGGATGATCCAATTTGTGCTGGGAAACTTAGTCGTGAGCATGGATCTATTATGAGTAAAATCAAAGAGGTCAATGGTTTTGAGAGAGAGCTTCTTGAACATATTGAGATGCTAAAGCTTGCACGTGAAGAGGGTGATAGTGAATTGGAATCGGTGGGCATTCACTTCTGCGCATGTAAATCTCTTTTTATTGGAATTCCATGTGTTGGATTTTGATGGATAGTGAATGAAGTTATAAACAACATTTATTTGCAGCATCTCGTTGGTTTCATGCTTCTCTCTTGAGAATGTAGTGAAATAATAGATTGACATGTGTAGTGGCTAAGTTCTTAACTATTGCTCCAAAGGCAACATGTTGCTTTCACCAGTGCTCTTGCGATAGATACAAGTACATATCTTCTGCCTTTGCATTCCCTAGCATGGATATTGGACATCATAACTTCTAGTCCTCTGTATCATGTTAAATAGAGCATGTAGAGATTGATAGCTACTTTATTAGAAAATAATTTTTCGTTAGGATTCATCCTTGCTCATTTATCCTTGTATGCCCATGCTAGAGTGATGACCTGTTCAGTATATCTATGACAACACTCGAGTATTTATTTAGCAACTAAACCACCACGCAATATGCATATGATAAAGATGCATGTGATAATATGCATATTGTATTGGTCATTTTCCAAAATATTTGTTTCTCTAACCTCTGTTATGGATTAGCCATTTGATCCATTCTTCACATATATGCATGTGAACTATGGCTTTTTCTAATCAACAGAATTCTACTGTTATGTCACAGGAATGTGAGAAATATGAGTATGAGCTAGTGTGAAATTTGCCAATGAATTAATGCTTGATTTTCTTTGACCGATCTACTGGTTAGTGAGTGAATGAACATCTTCGATGCTAGCCTATCTTATTCGAATTTTGCATGATGTTACATTGGTTCAATATTGTAGCTTAATGGATGGATTTTTGTTAGGCGGTATATACTACGTACTACAGTTTGGTTTAGTGGTTTGCAACTTAATTTTCTCTTTGCTTGTTTGAAGGAATCTATGAAAGCGCTACTGAAAATGAGAAGGGTTGCCAAGGAGAAAGAGCTTGAAGCATTGCTTTCGGGGGAGCATGATTCTTGCTCTTGTTTCATAGAGGTCATCGATTATATTATGGGCATCTTTTCTGTTAGCCTCTTTAACAATGTTATCTATTATCCAAATTGATATTGTAAACAGAGAACTCTGAAGTTATCAAAACTATTTTTGTTTTCCTTGGCATGTTGTTTTGTTCATTCGTATATTCGTATTATGATAATTGCAAGTACCAAATATTCCTCTGATGCTTATGCTTTTTGTTGTGCTCATTATTTATTGCTTCCTGTTGCTTTATAGTAAAGGACATGTCAAGTAAAATGCCTCTTCCTCATTATGTGGGTCGATACCTTTAATATTATTATACTAAATGGTTATAATTCAGTATGATGATAAGTGTGAATAAAGTAGTTAAAAATATTTAACATCAGTGCATAAGAAAATTAAATATTGATGATAAACAAAATTTAAATATTTGAATTAAATACTCAGAGCTTTGTAAAGAATATTGTTTTCATTGAAACTTTGAAGCCAACTTGGCAATATTTTTTGAAATCCCTCATCTTCTGTCGATTGCTCTTTAATCTACTGCCAATAATTGCAGATGAACATGCAGTTGGGGGATGTTAAAAGAAACAGAGATTATAGTTCCTTGTTGTTCATTTACTTCTTTTGCGTTGTTGGTTTGCATCACTGGTTTGCTGGATAGATTACTAGTTCCTAGAACTTTTCATTTGTGATTCCAGCACTTTCTAGTTCTTACATAGGATATGAATGCTATAAAACATAACCTCATATTTGGAGCATTATATTTACTCTGAATGGGAAGATTTTGCTTTGTGGCAGCAACAGTATTTATTTTGCCTTGTTTTCAGAACAAAAACTAATCATCAGGAGAAACTGTATATGGATGAGCTGGTTCAGTCAAACTTAGAAATACTAAATTTATCAAAGGAAAAGAGTTGTAATGTCCTCCCTTTCTTCTTCTTCTTCTTCTTCTCTCTCAGCTTTTTTTCCCTCTTTACTACGATTGAAATATGACTAGGTCTGAACAACTGTTGCAGGTTCAAGCTGGAGCAGGGGGAACAGAGAGCATGGATTGGGCAGCCATGGTAATGAATATGTACAAAATGTGGGCACAACATCGTGGATTTAGGGTGACTGTAATTGATGAAATGCCTGGAGAGATTGCTGGAATTAAGGTTCATTTTTGTACCTCTTGCAATCCACTATTGCTTCAGAATACAACAATTCATGTTCATAAGTATCCTTCATAGTAATTTGCTAATCTATTTAATCCAAACTTAAATCCAGGCATGCCTGAAAGGAATACTATTTGCCATTTTACGCTTTTATCATTTGGCTGCTACTGAAAGTTAAAATGCAATGCTGTTAGTCTAACATCTCCGAAAGTAATTTGCATCTTGAATGCTTATATACATAATTTCAATACACAACTTGGTTGTTCAAATTGCTTAAAATTGATTGATACTTGCATTAGTCTTAAAGCTCTTCCGATTTTTAGATTGCCAATAAACTTATGGGCAATTTATCAAAACAGCCATTAGAGATTTGAGTATTTAAATATTTAACATTTTGCCTATTTGCAACTATTCAAACACAAGACCACATGTTTTTCCATGGGTATTTTGAAAAGAAATAAAGGACATAGGTTTAAGTGTTAAATTTTTCATCTCTTACGGGTAATTTGATAAATTTACCTAAACTTATTCTTGCGGATTTGTTTTTCTGGCTTGAAGAGAGCAACAATCAAAGTGGATGGTGAGTATGCGTTCGGGTATGCCAAAGCAGAAGTTGGAGTCCATAGACTGGTCCGGATATCTCCTTTTGATAGTGCAAAGCGTCGACACACTTCTTTTGCTGCTGTAGCTGTAATACCCATGTTGGGTGATTCCCCTTCTCGTTTTCAAATTAATGAATCTGATCTTAGAATAGAAAGGTTTCGAGCAGGGGGAGCTGGAGGCCAACACGTTAATACAACAGAGAGTGCTGTGAGAATAGTGCACATTCCAACTGGGGTAACTGCCACTTGTCAAAATGAAAGGTATGCATAGGCTGTCATATTGGAATTGTTCTATGTAGTGGCATATCGGTGATTTAGGCCTTCGGTATCAGCTTCAATGCTTAGAATTATGAAATGGAAATATGTGAGATACCTTGGTTTCTCTTATTGGTAACAAAATTTTGTGAACTTCAGATCACAACATCAGAACAAGGCGATGGCTATGTCGGTGCTCCAGTCACGATTGGATCAGCTTGAGATGGCTCGTCAAGCCCAGATGAATGCTAAGCACACACAGTCCTTAACCGAGATCAGCTGGGGCAACCAGATACGCACTTATGTCCTCCATGTGACTCTCTCTCTCTCTCTCTCTCTCTCTCTCGCTGACACACGCGTTCATGCACACAGATTTTCCTGTTTTCATTTGCATGTTTATCCTCTCTGTTCTGATGATGAATACACTTATTTGACCATTTTTCCGGTTTAACAGCCTTATCGCATGGTTAAGGATCTAAGGACAAACTACGAGGTCTCGGACCCTGATTCAGTCCTCCAAGGGGATATTGATGGTTTCATCTTGAGTTTCCTGTCTGACTCAATTGACAAGGATGGTGAAAACCTATGAGCATTGGTTTGGAACAACCACCCATTTCTTTGGTGCCATTAAAACACACAAAAGGAATATCAAAATTATCGGCCTTCACCTCTTGGCCAAACATGGTACTGTTTCGATGATTCCATGTCCACCTGAGCAGTTCTATTGGCCAAACAGAAGCTGAGATACATGTCAGCAGCTCATATAAGCTTCGTTTTTTTTTTTGATAATTTTATTATTTTTCTCTTTTTTTATTTAGTCTTAAGGTTATTAAGCTTACTAAAATACAAAGCTTGCAATACAGGGTTGCATGTAGCTGACATGGTTCATGTGAATGGCTTGGTGCTACTTGGATGGTTATACTTGTGTGATAATCCGTGCTGTTTCAAATTGTTTATCTATACCATGAACCATTAGTATATGGCAAATACTTTTTTTTTTCTAATGGTGTTTTTAGGATTATTAGTTGGTTTTGCCTCTAACAATCGGGTTTTGTTATAGCCTGCCGCTCTCTCTCTCTCAAAGAAAAACATCTTGTTTTTACTAGTTTTTGGGAGCTTGTGAAGCTGGTACTGGTTTTGGGATGATGTGGATAGCATAGATTGATCACCAAGCATCTTTCTTTTCATTGATCCTAGTAAGAGACGGAGAGATTCATCATTGGCTAAGGACCTATCAAATTGTTAAGTTGCAGACCACCAAAATTCTCTGAATTGCTTCATTTCCATATCGAAAACACCAAAGGGAAGGTCCCTTCCTATGATGGCATCTATGAGAGCTGTTCATCGTTTTCTTTTCTTGATCATATTTTGTAATCTGCCTTTTAACCAAGCCAATCTGGAAGTAATGCCATCTAATAGGGCCAAAATGACAATGAGACAAACCTGTCTGGAAACCTCAGCTTTGTGAACTTAGCCTTTCCCTACACTTTCAGTTCCGATCACACCCAAACAATATACCTTACAGGCCACTGTGACTCTTACTCCAATGCTGCTCAAAGTTTGGAAAGACATTAAACTTTGCCAACAGTATATTGGCATTGAACAAAAGAAGCAAATGAACCAAGAAAATGTCCTTAATAGCTGCCCCACAATGCCCATTACCTGATGACTGGCTTGGAAAGGCTCTTAACCCTGGTAATTTGATCATGTTTGGGTTCAGTTCTTTAGTAATCCTGGGTGTGGGTGTACTTATCCACCTGGTGGTGATATCGTCAGATGGTTGATGTGTGGAATTGGTTGGACAAGTGAACTTCCAGCCGCAAAGATCGTTCGGGTTTACTGGCTTCTCCTCAAGCCGTGGGAAGTGCATTTATTTAGGCAAATGATTTGATTAGAAAAATTCTTCCTAATATGAAAAAGGCAAACAAGTATGGAGTGATGCATTTCCTATAATCAGTTTGGCAACTACAGTTCGAGGATCGAGAATGCAGTTTGATTCAAGAAATAAAAGGGAGAACAAAAAAGAAATGGTGTTTGGGGGCGCCTCATGATTTAAGAGGAACAAGTGGGTGATGTGTATGGCTCTTAATAAAGGATGGGGAGGAATCAACTGTTGTTGTTGGAGCATAGATTTAGATTTCATGTGATTTTCTTTCTTGGTTTTTTTCCGTTTGATATGCATATTCTTTGTGTTGAATGATAAATCAGTTATTAGTATCACTTCAGATGGGGAATGGGGGTTGGGGCATCGGTGGTTCTGAGGCTGATGCCTTGACTTGTCCGACCCTCCATTTATACCATTAAACGATAATTTCCTCAAAATCTAATATCAATTTATCAAGTTAAGTTCCGGCAAATTTGACAAACCCCCCACCCTTGCATTTACACGTTTGAGAAATATTTTTATATAAAAGAATTCCCTCATGTAGCTAACAAACCCCCCACCTTTGGATTTATATTTTTACATAAAAAAATTCTCATGTAGTTAAAAAAACCCTCACCCTTGGGTTTATACGTACAAGAATTCCCAAAGCATCTTTTTATGCCAATTGGCAATTAATTAGTGTGAAAATATTCTCACATCTAATTACATACATGAAGAAATTTTTTACTTGTGAAAATATTTCCTGAAAAAAAATTTCCCATGAACTACGAGTGCCTAGGTATATATGGTTCGAATAAAGAAAGGTTCCATGTTGGTAACTCAAGAAAAAAAAAATTCTTTCTAAATACTCATTAGTAACAGGGGCGCATTGATGAAATGGTATACAATCCCTTGAAAAATATACATACTTTTAGGCTTTTTTTCCCTTTCTTTATGTTGTTCAATCAAATCTAAGAGGTTCAATTGATAGTCAAACACCAATTCAGTAGCCGGTCCAATAACCCTACTAACTTTAACCCTTTTACTTACCCAAAAAAATAATAATTTAACCCCTTCCCCTGCAAGCAACTGATGGAGCTCTAATTAATTGGTGTAGATATATAATTTTGATTGCCAACCACCAAAGGAAACCTTTTAGGAAAAAAGTACTCCCATTAATAACACTGCCACTCCTTTGGGAGAGATCAAATGCACCAAAATAGCATGCTACTCTCATTAATCAACACTGTCCCACTCCTTTCGGAGAGATCATGTGACCAAAATAGCATGGTGTTAAAGAATCACAATGCTTGCATGTGTGTGTATCACACAGAGAGAGAGAGAGAGAAAGGTTGGTGGGTTGGATTGTTCATTTGAAATGTCCCAGATTCAAATATAACCATCACCAAAATATCTGTATTATATAAGAAATAACCAAAAACGTTTCACTCCTTGATCAGAAAATAAACCACAAATTGTGTGCCTGAACACTATTGTGTACTCAACAAAGACAGGCACCAAAAATCTCCGATCTTTATTGATGGAAGTTGGTCTGTACATCAATAAATTCTGGTGACAACCAGCTCTGAAAAATCCCTCCATTGAGAGGGGCTGCACCGATCTTTTGAAGATAGCAAAAATTAGATGAAAGAACATAACAAAAGGCCCCAAAAAGAACAGACCAAAATAAACAAGGACAGAAATTATATCTACAATTTATAGGTACCAACCTACAAAACTGTTCGGTAAAAACTACAACAGGAGTGAACGTGTAAACCAGTCAGAGAGGCGCCTTAGCTTTCCACCCATTTCAGCACTTTTTGCAAAGTAAGACTCCGCATTTGACATCATCACGTCAAAGTCATGTTTGACAGCCTCCAAACTGCGGTAGTAATCCTTCTCCAGTCGTCTCTTTACCGTGTCGAAAGACAAAGGCACTGGAAATCTGCAAATGGAGATCATAAAAGAAGATATAAATCTCTAAGTTATGTAAACCATTGAGTCCCTTTCTACATTATCCAACTCCTTGGAGTTTTAATACTGGCTTCTAACTCTCTAAAAAAAAAAAAAAAAGACTCTTAAAGACTGAAAGACATAGCCTTACAATCTCTCCTTCCTCGCTAGAAGTTATGTGACTTGGGGCAGTCCGATTTTTAACCAAGAATCTCTTTCTAAGCTTCAAAAGCATCATATAACCATTCTTTACTACAGATTAAGGCTAAGAAATGCACCACGAGATCATTCTTTCGTTTTTTCTCAAATTTATGTGACTGATGTTCGTTGAACTCAAGGACCAAGTAAGATTTTATGTGATTGGTGTTTGGTCACTTCAAGTTTGCAGTCTCTTATCACTGCTAAGAAACGCACCTAGTCAAATTGGACTTGAAGAATAGCTTGGCCCCAGCAACCTGCCAAGGCTGGAACAGAATACCTAGGTGTACCATGTACAGCATTCAGTGAGGGTACTGTACAATTCTACAGTACTCGCCCAAGTACTGCACATTTATTTCATGGGGATCGGAAATCTTGCCCTCATTTTTTCCTTGTTTTCTTGTATTTGAGCCCTAGGGTTGGCGATTCGAGCCAAACTTGAGTCTTCAGTAAGATTTAACATGATCTATCGGCTAGAAACATTAGATTCTGACAAAAAAAAAAAGAAAAATTAAATTCAATAAATTTTTACTTTGAAAATTCCGAGCAAGTTTTTGCCCAATCTTGTAGAATTGGGTTTTCTTCGCAATCTATGGTCAATCTTCCATGAAATTTGATCCCTATTTAGTGTTCTTGTCCAACCGTAGGCTTGGTTTTCACAAAAAGAAACAAAAAAAAGTAGGATTTCAATAATTTTACATTCGGATTTACTATTCATCCAAAGTTTTCAACCCAGATCACCTAGATCTCAATCTCGAAACCTAAAATTGATTTGGGGGTTCTGATAGGGGTTATGTAAGGAAGCATTGACAAGGATTTGAGGCATCGATTCGCCCCAAGCACGAATATCAGGAGATTAGCCACAAAATTGTGTATGTTTCATTTTTTCCAATTTAAATTCAAAAAATTGATTTTTTTTTTTATATCAAATCAACTATAATTGATTTATGATGATTGTGAACACTTTTATTTTTTATGTTTCTGCCATTTATTTTTCTAATTTTCCCTTTTTCAGATTTTTCCATTTTTTTCATGCCAATAACATCAATTGTTTACCTAAGGTTAACATTATAAAAACAATCAATTGTTTACCTATTAAATGTTATATTAATTTTTACTTGCAAAGATTTTATAGATTTTTATTATTTTTTATTTTTCAAAATCTTCAAATACTTCAGAAATTTTTTGGGCATTTTGGCCCCATTTTACAGCTCAGGCAGGACTCAGGCAAGTCAAGCTCAGACTCACCCGAGACAGTCAGCTCCCCAAAGGGAAAGTCCCCAGCTTGACCTGAATTTTTTAGCTTGGTTTCCATGAATTAATGGTTGAGGGTGCCACTAGATGAAGTTCTTCAAGGAGTTTGCAAATCTATAATTAAAAGTGAAGTTCCTCAGTAAGGATCAGATAAGTCTAAGATGTCCCCAGAGTTCATTTCATATTTAATTCCAATATTAATTTTTTCAAGAAGCCGGTGCAACTTTTGACAACCTACACAAGCAACATTAGATAGTGGCAGGAAAAGGTAGGCAGGCCAGGTTCTTGCTCAACCACTGGGGCCATTCATATGCAGTTCTCTGACCTGATCTTTCTGCCTTAGCCCTAAACCAAAATGTCACCATCGCTGAAAGTCATAGAGGCAGAGGGACAACACACACTTTGGTCATTAGCGCTGAGAAGGGGCCTACAAGATGACGACTTTAAGCATTTTCAAACTTGTTACAGGCACTACAGCAGGTCTATTTTCATCCAAAAAGAGAAGACAGAATGATCTGGGCTCCCAAGTGGAAAAGGAGAGCCTTCTGTTCACTCAATGTATTGAATCGTCATGAAGAACAATGATTGAATCTCCACTACTAGAAGGGTCTGGTTTATTGCCAAATCTATCACAAAATGCGAGCATTCAGTGGCTAGCCACCACAGAGAAGGTACAGACAGATACACCACTGCCAAATATTTGTTTGATGTGTAAAGGGGATGAAAACAATGTCAACCATCTATTCTTGCATTGCCCATTCGATAGACAGATCTGGTCAGCTGCGTTAAATATTTTCACCTGCACACGGTGGATCCCTTGGCGACACATGGTTAACCCTCCCATGCCAATACAGGTTCTAATCCTGTAGACTAGCTCTGATCATGATCCAATGGGTTTACAGCTTGAAAAAAACAACAGGCACTTAAATGACAAAGTGGAGTGCAGAACGTCCAAAAGGTAATCCTCGGCCAGTAGGGGCTGGGGAAAGGGGTTCCAAGAATGTTACCAATTGGGCCCAGAATCACGAAATGCCCATGGCGTTTTCATATAGTGATCGACGAATTTTCAGAGTTTCAGACAATCACTGAAAATCTTTTCTTTTGCTAGACTAGCGAGGATCTCTACTGGAACCCACCCATTGAATTAACCTCTAAGAATATGTACATTATTATAGACTCTACAATTTGTAGTCCAATTGTGGGTATGAGTTTAAGAGATTGCATCACAGTACCTAACTCGACATTCTAATTCTAACGAATCTATGATGTGCTATTGATTTATGATTCATTTACATTTCAACTTCTATAAGGAGAATATCACAATCTTTCTCTTTGTCTCTTTCCTTGCCTTTTAACTAATTCTGTGTTGGCACATTGTTGATTCTTGAGACTGCATCGCGTCGCTTACTATTAACCATGTACTACCTCTTCGAGTGCATCTTCTTCTTGTTTTGGATTTAGAAAAATGCAAAAAAAAATTCAATTAGGTTATTTGTGCATTGTTTTCATTTTAGGTACTTAATTTCGGTCCTCTTGAATGGCTTCTACAATTTGTAAATTCCCTTGAAAAACATAACAGAAATGCAAGAAACAAATAACTGAAGTTTCTGTGTTTGTGTTTTTTTTTTTTTTTTTTTTTTTTTTTTTGCCATTTTCGGTGTTTACAATAAAAGAAGTAAATGTAAAGCAAATTGTTTCTTTCTTTCTTTTTTGTATTTAGGTTTTCAATTTCAACTCTTTAGGGATTTGACAGAATTAAAAATGTGAATTTGTAAAAGTCCTCAAAACATAAGAATAAAAAATGCAAAAGAAAAAAATATATTCTGTAAGGTTGCAACCTTAAAAAATCCAATTAAGGCACACCTCTAAATTTTATCATAACATGTAATTTTGGTATAGAAACTTCTAAGGATTATCTTAAAATCTATTTTCATATCTAACTACAAAATTTTAAACTCCAAAAAATGGTTAAAATCAAGTATATCTATAAACATATGAAAGTCTTGAAAATGGATGGTCCAGATAATGTGTTGCAAGATCCACATTTCTGGGACTCAAAATCTTCTTCTTCTTTTTTTTTCACATTCATACATCTCGATGTCGAGATGATCAATTAGGGGTTTTTCAAATTAAAACAACCTTTTCCGATGGATTTTTGAAGTGCATCTTTAATTCTACATTTTAAGGTTGCAACCTTATATTGATCTTTTCCTTCTTTTTTTTTGTTCAAGTATTGAGAATTGATTTTTTTTTTTGAATTTTTTCCTATTTTTGTAAATTTTCCATTTTCCCTTTTGTGAGTCTTTTACATATTTATCCTTTCAAAAAAAAAAAAAGTTACACCACCAATCTGACAGGTGAACTGGATCGGTGCCCTCACTAGTTCAGCCAACAGACCAGTCCTAACAACATTGGGCCGGAATAAATTGCAAAGGTGTGGCTTTCCATGCCTATTAGATGTGCCCCTATTGGCCGGATAGAAGGGCACACTTCCTCTTATGTATATTCGTGAGCAGGTGGGCAGCCCCAAAACTGTTCCTCGTCTAACACCCCCCCTTTTCCTTTTTTTTCTCTGCCAAAATCAGGTGTGATCCTTTGGAGAGTCTCTAACCTTAACTTCACATGGAACATTTGCCTGGAACTAAATAGAAGGATATTTGTGGGCAAATAAAGAGGCATAGAAGGAATCAAAGATAACATCAAGTCTGTTGTAATCGAATAGGCGAGACAGCTTAAGCAGTTCAAAGGATATGCAACTTCAGATTCCATTCTAAACTAGAAACCTAGCTAGCACATTAAGGCACACCAACTAGGGTCCACAATCTCGTTAGCCCAACAAGTTAAGCTTTGACGGATGCTCCTTTGGTGACCCTGGCAGAGCAGGGGCTTGGGACAGGGCAGGCTGGGGGCTTGTTTGATTGTTGTTTGCATAGTTACAAGGAATCAAGTTGTTTTGCGTAGTTAAAAGGAATCAAGTTGTTTGATGGTAGCCAGGCGATGTGTTAATGGTTGAAGCAGACACCAAAAATACAATAAGATGTGTTAACAGAACTGCCACTTGCCTGTGGGGACCATGTCAAATTTTCAAAGAGACTTGCGAGCTATGTGCCACTCTAAATATCTCATTCCATCGCATTGGGTGTGAGGCCAACAGCCTCGAGGATGGGTCTCTTTTTGTTGGTTGCTTTGTACTGTAACCCTCTAAAAGAAGGCCTTTTTATTCTGTCTCCTCTCTCTTCTCTCTCTCTCCCCCCAGTACTTCTGATAGCCTCTTGTGGCTAGCTTCTCCTATCTTACCCTGCTGGGACCCTTTACTATATATAAAATTTAACTTTCTCAAAAAATACAATAAGATGTGCTAACAGAACTGCCACTTGCCTGTGGGGACCAGATCAAATTTTCAAAGAGACTTGCGAGCTATAGGCCCCTCTAAATATCTCATTCCATCACATTGGGTGTGAGGCCAACAGCCTCGAGGATGGGTTGGCCAAACAGGGGGCCCTGTACACTTCTTTGGAGCTCAATCCTCCCTGAATGACAGTTGTTCACTTTTTTACCTATATGTGGCAATCTGGTCATTTTTTGAAGGCTGAAATGCCATTTTGCCTTATGACTTTTGGGAGGGTGACTCCCAATCTGAAAACGCAACAGATTGGGAGGGGGACTCCCAATCTAAAAACGCATCAGATTGGGAGGGTGACTCCCAATCTTACCCAAAAAAATTTATTATCCGAGTTCGTAGGTTTTTTGTCATTCGTTCAAGATCTTCTGACTTAGCATTCCCATCTTCTCCTTCCACATCAGCATTAGTCCCCACAACAGATACTCATCCATGTCACACATTATCCTCCATGTCACCAATCTGATCAACATTTTGGACCTGTTTGGAAACCACCCAGGTAATCAGAATACAGCCATTTTTCAGGCCAAACATGGAGTTCCTCTTCTGCTTGCTCAGCCATGGCATTTAATCTTGTGAGAAACCACCCCGGTAATCAGAATATGGCCATTTTTCAGGCCAAACATGGAGTTTCTCTTCTGCTTGCTCAACAATGGCATTAAATCTTGTGCCCTCTTGGCTTCTTGTAGTTCTGTATGCAAGGTGATTTTGCTATCTTGTGCCAATCCTTTTTATTAAGGAAATTTCTTCACCCTCTAGTGTCCTTTCCATTGTTTTCGAACCGAATTTGGTTGGTCTCAACATGTTGCCTCCCTTTCTTGTGGATTTTCTGCCTTCTATTTTCTTCTCAACTTTCCTCCATACCAAAACCTATTTGGAGTTTTGCTCCCCTCTTTAGGTTGGACATCCTTGTTAAGATTCGTATATTCAGTTTTGACCAATGGTGCAGAAGGAAGCACATAAGAAGGATGTCATCATATTCTAAATAGGTTCAAGTTGAACCTATTTGGAGTTGAACATCTTTTAACATCTAGGACTTTCTTTTTTATTTAATTTTTTTGGGTGAGTCAGTGGGGAGAGGCCCCTACCCTGGAAGGAATTGAGCCTAGGACATAGCGTTACACATCGTCAAGCGCTAACCAATTAAGCCTGGGCTCTTTTCCTACATCTAGGACTTTCTTGAGAATAGAGTACTGCACATCGACTCATTTTGTAAAGAAAAGCATACACGCATGCCAGTTTTGCAATAACAAAAACCGGTTACCAATCACTGAAAAAAAATAATAAGCAAGTGTACCTTTTTCTTAAGTTAACACTAAAAGTTATTTACTAAAAGAAACAAAAACTGACAGGCACATGCTTCTTCCATTCTCAAAAAATGGACAAGTAAAAGCTTTTGCTCCAGATGACAGATACCATCATCATCATCCAAGCCCAATCCCAATTAATTGGGGTTGGTTAGATAACAGACTCCAACAAAACCAAAAATGCATAACACAATCACAACTAATAGGCAACAGATACAACATGAGAGAGCAAGAAATTTTGATTGGCGTCGGCTAGATGACAAATACCAACAAAACCAAAAATGCATAACACAATCACAAATAATATGCAACAGATATAACATGAGAGAGGAAGAAATTTTGAGTGTTTTCAAGGACCAACCTGTTGAGAAAATCAGATTTCTGTGAGATTTGCTTCAATTTCTGAACTCCATAAGGGTCCTGCCACTAATTACTGTCAATCAACATGTTTCGATCAAATGAAACAAAGACTACATTGAAATTTTAAAACTAGGGAAACAGCAACCTTTTTGTCCATTGAGACATTCTCAATCTTGTCAAAAGAGGACAGCAGCTTCTTTGTAATTTTTGGGTCAATACATGGTTGCTCCCATCTGGGGCTATCAGGGTCATGAAGTTCCCATGGGCTATGTTGATGTTGACCAGATGAATCCCCTCTATATAGAACAACACACTTTTCCCATGGGCTATCAGGAAACTCAGCTGATTTTGGTTTCAATAACAAAACCCTTCCCTCCCACCAACTCCCACCTTCTCCATTCTCACTCCTCCACCAAACCTGACATTTATCCCTATGTGTCCAATTTCTCTTCATGGCCGCATCATATCGTGCTCTTTCAACAAGGAAATCAGGAAAATCTGTCAATTCAGGTAAGGTCATCTTGAATCTTTTGCCACATATGATGGATGTTGAGTCTATGAATTCAAGGGTGAGCTTGCAACAGCTCTCGCCTGATCCAGGAAGAGTTGAATAATCTAAATTTTCAATTCTGCAAAATTCTACAGATCCAATTCCTTTTATTGACTTCCAAGGGCCTGCTTCATGCAAATGGCTTAGTTCTAAGAACTCCTGATGGCCCTGAAATATTGCAGTGACCAAGATCCATCAATTTCAAGGGAAACTACATATTCAAGCAGGAGTTATTTCTTTACCCTTTTTTTCCTTATTTCCTTTTTTTTTTTGGGAAGTAGAAGTGTTCCTTTTCTTATAAATCATTATGAAGCAGATCCATAAACAATAAGAGCAGAAATAACCATAAAATCTCGTAATGTACTACCCATCAAAGAATACAAAGAATACACTGCCTTAGTTACCGTCAATAAGAACAGAAAAAGAAAAATAAGCTACCCTACAGATAATCACAAAATATCATATACCACCATACATCAATAAAAAAGAAACAAGAGAAGTACACTACCTGTCTCAAATAAGCTACTTCATCACCTTGTTGTGGAATATACCTATAACCCTCCTCAGGTTCAGAGATCATCAACCATGATAGTTTCCGTACTGAATGCTGTGTCTTTTTCTTATCTACAAATCTTGAATCAGATTCAGAGAATATCTCTCGTTTGCTTCTAGCTGATCGTGTTCCAACTGTCACCTTGGAAACTGACTTCCATCCCAGTTGCTCATGTGTCTCAAGGTTGGATCTCTCGGCACTTCTTGATGACTCAGCATTGGAATGCCCCATCCTTTTCTTGAAGTCATTCATCATAGGATCTACACCTGATGACATGTTACCTGAACCCCTCATCCCCATGGATCTAGTCCTCCGAACACCATCAGTTAGGACAGAAGAAACATCTTTTAGATCGACAGAATAATTGTTATCAGCAGTTGAAGTATTCTCTTCCATGCCCAAGTTGTCATAATCAGAATCTGTTTTTGTCCTAAATGACTTGGACCTCTTATATACGGTATTATACATCCTATTGTTTGCTTCTGAATATGATCTTGTTTGGTCACGTGAATGGGCAATCCTTAAAGTCCTATCATTTTGGTCATCCGAGTTCCCCGACCCATTGCTAAATTCTTCATGGGCACTAGTCATCATCTCTCTTGAAAAATGAACATCATCCCTCTCAATGGGACTCTCAAAAGGTACATCACCATCAGAACCCTGCCAATCTTCAAGTATGGCTATGGACTTTTGCTTGAAAGAGGAACTTGGTGGGTCCCTTGATCTTCTTCTCGATCTAAACTTTATCTTACCAATGGCAATAGGCTTCTTCTCATCGAGTTCAGCGCAATGATCAGTACTATTAATATAGTCATTATGGGCTTCACTTGCATCGCCAGTTTCTGAGTCATGAGTACCCAATGATTCCAGCGGACCCCTGTGACCCAAATCATCAGGTCTGCCCAAGTATTTCTTGTTTATTCTCCATACTAGCTCAGGTTTCTTCCCATTACAAGTTATGAGTGATGTACCTCTTTTTTCTATGTTCTCATTATTATAAGAGTCCCTTCCCGAAGTCCCAGGAATTTGGTCTTCATCAGACAAGCCAACATCAGCAGCCACTGATCTTGAGTGCCCATTGGCATTATTCTCAATGTTAACATGGTGTTCTTCAGTCCTCCCAATTGTTGGGGCCCAAGTATCTATCACAGAGGCTTCCCCAAGCCTCAAGCGCTTTGATGATCGGGTCTTGACCTCTCCCCATCTGATATCATTTTCTTTGTACCCCACAGAAACATTTGGATGATCCTCAGATCCATCACTTGCATCACATTCTCTGTCATTACTATCGTCATGGTTTTGGGGTGAGATACCGTTATTGGTAACATGCTTTGCTTTGCTCTCTTGGTAATTTGAAGAGACCAATTTAAGATTCTTTATTTCCTGAGTATTTCCAGAAGATGAACCAATGTGATTATCATGGGCCTGCGAAACTGAGTTTCTGAGCACTGCCTTCTTGGGATCACGAAGTGGCAACTTGAGCACAAGCCTCCTATTTCCTGCATGGTTTTGAGGATCAGGCTCAGCATCCAGAGCTTTAGCAGCTTTAGTAACATTTACAGTAAACTCATCTTGGGATGCTTCTTCTTCCGCAACATGTTTCTGTTTCCTAGTTTGTATTGATTTGCCTGATTCATTGCTTGGGCCATTGGAATCCAACGGTTGTGACTCTGTCTCCAAGGAATCACTACCCAATTCTTCTTCTTCATCTTCTCCATCACTTGATCCTCCAATTTGAGAAAACAGGTTGAGAGCATTTTTAGCAGCACGTCGTCGGGGTCGTGCTGACTTAGAAGATGAGCCCTTCTTTGCCGATTTTCCATTTCTTAGGCACCTAGTTCTTTTAGGTCTTGATACAGTGCCATCACATTCATCCAAATTTCTTCTTTTCACACGCCTTCCTGAAGAAGTCAAGAATTCAGCCTGCCAAATTTGCAAGAGAATATTAGTTAGTTCTGCAAGAACTGAAAAATCATTGGTAAAATCTTGAAATCAATGATTGAATTTTTATATATGGGAACCACTTGGAATTTCAGTTTTCTGAGTGATTTTTTGTGTGAAGTTTTTTGCATAGATATTCAATAATTGGTACCTTTTTTTTCTTTTCTTTTTCTTTTTTTGACAAACAGTTTGGTAACAAAAATTTCATATTTGTTTTCTAAGAGATGATATTTCAGCTGTTGTCCGGATAAAAAATCTGAGAGAAATTTTGTCTTTGGAAAAATAAATGACAAAATAAAATTTCCATTTTAGTCCTTAGTTCTGCTAAATTTAGCAGATCTTAGCACCATTTTGGTTGTTATATCAGAATTACTAGTTTTGATGGAAGGTTAATCCATTAGGAAAATGATAAAAAGAGTTAAATGAGTAAATGCTTGCCTCTGCTTTCTGCTTTTTCCTTTTAGATCTACGTAGTTGTTCCTTACTACTGCCCTCATCTTCACTATCCCCCTCACTGCTCTCTGCGACATCTGACGAACAAGTACCAAAACTTCCACGTTCTCCTTCACTAGAGTATTCATCTGTAACATTATATTCCGAGTCATTATCGTCACTTTGGACATCAATTTCTGGCTCCCAGTCCATAACATCAGCAAAGTCAGCAGGATTCTCAAGCAACCTATCCCAGTCGCCATCAATTAGAGCTTGAGGAAGGTGCATGACATAATCTTGGGTCCCATTATCAAGAGGGCCAACTGCTAATCTTACAGAAGGAGGACGCCACTCAATACCAAGAGCACCCAACCGTCGCTGCTGATATGCGCTTTGATAAGGATCAGGGTAAGGGATCATACCTGTCATTGCCCAATTACACCAGAAATACCATTTAGGAAGTCAAAAAGTACAAAAGTTATCATAAACAGAAGATGAACTTCGATTTATCTGTCCTCTCTCGCAGAATAATGCGTTTAAAAAAATAAATGAAAAATGTTTATCATCAAAAGAATAAATGGAAGAGGCCCTATTTTAGAGAGACCATACATAAGAAATCAGCTATATCTAAACATAATCAAACATACTTATATCACAAAGGAGATCTTGCATGTTCCTTCGGTATGGAGGAAGCTGAGTTTCCTGCAATTAAGAGATTCCAATATGAGAGGATCAAACCCATCAAAAGGGTTTATAGATGGGAAAGCATACTATCATCCAGTGAAAAATAGTCCACTGGAGTAATCATTGTCCAACAGAATGATACATGGCAACAGATAGAGTGGGACTCAACATTTGGGGTCATGTCCTGTTATGGTGGGGTCTACGATCCATCATACATCATATTATTTGAATGGAAATGACCCAATAGACTACAGTTTCCATAGTCCATTGCATTGACCCAATAGAATATAATTTCCATGGTCCAATATTATACATGCCCCTGTTAAATTCACTCATATCTCCTGCCACAACCAGCCACATATGACATGACATGACATGGAAATATAGGTCAATAGTAGGAGACTGGGACACAAATTGCTGACGGAAAATAATCCACCAAGCATTGCAAAATGCATTCCCAAATGGGATTTGATATCCTGAATAAGAAAATGTTTCCGCTAACCTGATCCAGTACATTTCCATGCGCATCTTGGATGAGTGGACGGTAATCCCCAAGGAAGAACTGCAAGGAAAAGAATTAAGCAATCTTTAGAGTAAGTCTAACGATTAATAGACGCATGTATTTTATAACTTAATCAATAAATGCATTCCATGTTATATACCTGATCATATTTGGCATCCTTCTGGGATTCTCCTTGGCCTGTTGCTATGATATAGATTTGGCCAATTTCATCTGAAAGAATAATGGATGTCCCATCCCTGCATCAACAATTAAGAAAATTAACCAGCAAAACATTAAAAATGTAAGTAGAGAGAACTAGCAAGCACCACCGATTATGTGAGCTATACATTTGTTTACATTAATAAGGAACTCATAAAGATCCTAAAAAGTGAGGTTTATCCTTACACCTATACAGTGTACTTCATATTTTCATGAATTCCTGAAGATCTCTTGTACAAGAGACTTACATCCACTCCCTCAGCCAATATACCAATAATTTCCACAACACAGATGAAAGCTTATCAATTTACTAGGAGATCTCACAAGACCCAGTAAATTTGGGAAGCAGAGAAGAACTCATTTCATCACGTGATGGGTTCAGTAAGACCAATCAGGGGATGGATGTGAAAAGGAAGGATCTGTGACGGCTCCTTAAGAAAGGACTCCTTCAGATGGGAGGCTCAGGTAGTATTTCCTGAGAGCATTGGATTGAAGTATACACACCCCTTTCTTAACTGCACAGCCCAAGGTGTTAGCCCATCATACTAAAGAAAACTAAGGACATGGTGGCAGGAACTACAAACTAGCTTCAACAACAGGTATAATTTACATTGCACAGATAAGAGCTATGAATGTCGGTGTTAGACACAGGTGCAAGGTGCCTGATTCTTTAAGTATTCAAATAGAATAATGAAATTAAATATCATATTTTCTATTATATTAATTTTTATTTGATTTATAAATATTAATTTGAATTCAAAATATTAATATTTCTTAATATTTAGAATATCAATTCCATTAAGAATAAAAGATATTTCTTGTGTCAGTGATTAGGGATCCGGACAACCAATAGTTTGAGTAAAGTAAAGGATCGAACCGAACTTATAGACCGAAGGACATAGATCTGTTCATGTATGATCAAATTATATTGGTTGAATACATCATTGTCAATATGAATATCAGGAAAAACAAATACAAATGAATAAAAGAAATAACAACATTGTGTTGTGTTTGATTGATACAACATGGACAAAACATAGAATGTGGCTATATATATATATATATATATATATATGTGTGTGTGTGTGTGTGTGTGTGTGTGTGTATATAGTAAGTAAAGTTAT